TTTTAATTTGTAGAGATTAAGAACAGACTATCAGGTCAAATGTTTTTATTTTATTTTAATAATTGTAGATTTTTAGTGTCCATTCTTTTAGAGATTTGTATTTTTTTTATCATTTTCTGCAAGCCACTTCACCAACCTGCACTGGCCGCTGTGGTGAAGTATGGTCAGATAACCCCCAGCACGAGCACATCATTGAGAGCCCTTCGTATAGCAGTGGCTTGCAAAACTAAACCAAAACGATGAATACCGCACACATACTATATTAAATAATTCGTTATTCATCATATCAGATGTTGCTGTGGCATAAAATTGAGCACCCTGAACTTGCACTCCAGAGCTTACTGGTTTGATCTGCCGGCAAGGCAGCTGAAACGTGGCCGAGTTTCCTATCCTTTGTCCACCCAGCGGTCGATCGACAGTGTGGGTACACGCACCTTCCCCAAGATGTCTGGCCAGTGTGAAAGAGTAGGCCAAATGCACAACTAGAGGGGGCTCTATGGTGCTCTATTGATCCCCCTCGAGTGGAGGCCCTTCCACCAGCAGTGGTGTGAGCGAGCACTTGCAGGGCTGCACCCTTAACCCACTTAGCAATTGGCCAACGATTAATTCCACCATTTATCGCGATGTGCCACAGGTGCTGAAGGCATTCACATCTCGTACGTTTGGGCAGAGCGTCCCCGATCAATGGAACCACAAAACCATGGAACGCGGCACACACGCACGCATGCACGCCCACTGTGGCTGTGTATATGTGGGCGTGTGTATGTGTGTGCCTGGGCAAGCACCCGTGGACATTTCCAAGAGGCCCCTCTCCTTTTCCCTGCTAGTTGGAATTTGACGACGACGTGCCTGGAGTACAAAAGCCACCGGCCGCTGTCCGTGTACTTTCCATGGGGGTGTGGCATTTGGCGTGTACAGCCCCTGGTATCGGCCCTCGTGCTGTTGTTGCGCAGTAGCATTGGCGGCAGAGGAGGAGGAGGAGGCGGTGGTACGGCTCTGTTTGAGAGTGCTCTGCAAAAGTCAACACAGCCCTCTCTTGCTCTACTCCAGACAGCAACCCTCCGCTGCCTTCCCATCTCCGCCCCTCACCCTCGCCAGCATCCCCGAGACCCCACCAACTCGCACCCCTCCACGTAGCCCGCCCCTAACCTAAGACGTCTTATTGTCGCGCGCTCTGGCTGAGTGTTTATTCATCCGAACTGTGAGCCAGCTCTGGGCGCTCTGCGTAATTTCTTTGCTTTGTTTGGTATCTTGCAGTAGGCCAGAGCACATGCCTCTAGCCACTGAGCAGATAATTCAGTGGAGACCATCCCCAGAGCATTGGCGCAATTTTTTGACCATGAGAAAAGTGAATTGTCGATTGTGAAGCCTCACCGAGCTCTGCAGTGGAGCTTTCTGGATTACAGCTCTCCGAAGTGCTTTCTGGCTGTGCCGCCCGTGTGTTGTGCAGCACAATGCACGACGTTTTTGTTCACGAGCAGGGAGCTTCTTCAGGAACTGAGTTGAAGAAGCTGCCTGTACACGGAGCAACACGTCCCTACATCAAGCCGAACAAAACGCGGCACATTCCAAAAAACACATCAGAGGTCTAGACAGAGCAACCGCGAAAACTCACCCGGTAGTATCCTGGATAACACGTGAAGGATATCCCATTCCATTATATATCTCCACATGCAAAAATATATTGTGCACAGCCTCCATGCAAAGATACACAGTTATGCGTGCTTGCTGGTGTAGTATCCCAAATCCCAAATTTTATAATGGTGCAGATTTGCTTTAATTAAGTAAATATAGCTAATGGCTGTTACATCCTGTTATTCAATGACAATGCATTAAAATTGCTAATTTGAAAATAAAAAATTGCATTAACATGCAACTAACTGAAAAATCGCATACCAACGGGCAATTATGTATGGAACGATGCGCCGATTAATTCATTAAAATCGATTCTCACTCATATCGTACGTGTAAAAATCATACACAATGTACGTGAATTATCAGGTGACACGCAGACACATGATGCAAATGGGGCGGTACAAACAAGAAACAATACAAATGAGAAAGCTAAAAATAAAAAGACAAAAAGTGTATCTACTCTTGAATTGAATCGCGACCCCCAAATTGTGAAAAAAAAACGCACAACTCACAATCGAGGCAGTAAACATTTAACGAAAAATTGCAGATCCTTGAGTTGAAGCCCTAACTCCGAAACTATATATATAAAAAAACGAAGCAAGTGAGACTAATGATGAGACGTAAAATATGAATAGGCTCTCAAATTGCAAGCCCAAATCTTGACAATGTGCACACTTACTGGCAATACACAAGTGGCAGCTTCCCCGACAGTATTCTGTCCTCCCAATTGTCATTTTACATCAACCTCCGTCTGCAAGTCTTTGATTGTGTGCGGCCAAAATCAGTGTTGAACTTGGCTCGTGTGCCTTACATCGGACCGGGCTAAGTGGCTGTTTTCGACGTGCTCAGCAAGTGTGCACGCTGATAAATGCGCAAAGAAGCAAGGGGAGCTATATTCTTGCAGTGGCATTAAGAGGCAGAAATGGGGACGAATGAACTAAAGCACATCACATTGACTGTTAAGCAACGTGGGCTTGGGCAGGACAGGAGCTATGATTCAGAGACTAATGATGTAGTGGCAGCTAAAGGAGGGAACAACTCCCCAGAGGTTCTTTACAGTAGAGAGATGCAGTGAGGAAATCAGGTCGGGTGCATTGTTACATTGCATCACCACGAGTGATGGTAAAGCCTTGTGAATGCTAAGATGTAATGTAATTGAATATGCTGGATAAAGGCCTCCCCATGCCGCGTCAGTCATGTGGGTTGTTTGACAATACTTCACGCTTATCAGTTGAGTTTGGTGAAGGAGGGAGGCCCCAGGCCCCGTTCAGATATCGCTCGCCACTGGCGTTAGCCGTGTCCGGGAATTTGATTGTGGGCAGCTGGGTTCATTCATAGGGCAGTGTGCCAACCACAGCGCCATCGCTCATCGATGTCACCCAGATTATAACAAATTGTAAATAATTAATTTTCGCACACACAATTCGATGCGTGAGCATCGTGTGCACGGGAATTGGCTGTAGTCGATGGATCCACGCCTCACTCCGTTCCCGGCCATTTCATTCTCCAGATCCGAATCTGAATCGCAATGCACATCTTAAATAATTAACCGTGCCTAACGATATTGCAATGTAAAACGTAATATATCTATAAAACCCGCTTAAGTACTTATATCAACAGTTTTAATAATTTACACCATTCCATACAACTGCACGTGTACTATTTGGACAACTTTCAATACGAACCTCAATGGGTTATGGAAAGAAGAACCCCCCCCCCGGACCCCAAATTAATTAATGAAAGGTTCAGGTGGAGCCCCGCAATTGCTTGCCCACGTCACTGCTGGCAGAAGTGCCTCCACTGGAGGGATCTCTAGAGGTTATTGACCTACTCATGCACGCTGGCCAGACGTCTGGTAAGAGGTGGGAGTACCCACGATTTACCCCACCGCACACGCGACCCTGCCTATTGATTGACTGTGGTGGGTTGTAACTTAATAAAAAACGACACGTTAATTTAATAGAAGCTTGCTCTCCGTGCATATCTGAGCTTTTACACACGCTTTATTTTTATATATATTTTTTTAAAACCCACACCATCGAATCCCAGCCCCGTCCTCTTACCGCTGGAATGAATAAAGATGGAAGATTGAGATGTATTACGAGAATCGTTTTCATCTGTGTCATGTCGTTCCAAAACAAACGTTGCGCACAGTCTCGTTAGTAATGCCTTTATTATTATTATACCCATATTGCCACTGACATACACACTTTTCAGAGTCAGAGATTGGTTCTACGTTCGTAATACGATATGACTTTAAAAGGCATTACCATCCAAATGAACCTGGATGCAATACCGTTCTCGTATTTTTTTTCCCCCACCCTCCCGCTCTTGGCACGATTCCGACATTGGTGGAATGATAGAGGCTATGAATACCCTCAATAATAAATAAATAAATACATCCTAACAGCCAGTAAAAATTGGGAGTTTCAAGGCTGAATCTTTGGCATTGGGAAGTTCTAAGCATGCTACCAACTATTTACATCCAATCCCTAATATATATTTAATTCCTTCCCGGCAATACTTTTTACATTTAAGTCATCGTGATCATTTCTTGTTACAATTAAGAAAATGTATGTCATCGACTCGCAAGTGATATTTTATCTGGGTAAGTAAAGACTCCTGCCATTTGAAAATAAATCTTCACGACTTCATTCCTAATGTCCTACTCATCCTGTTGCCAGCATTTTCATTGTGCTCTTCCTCCATCCCTTCCCCACCCTGACCTTTGCTGTTCCCTGTATTTACAATATATATTATTTTCATTTATCTTGTTTATGTGTGCGGACAAACCAAGTGTCTCCTGACCGTTTTCCTGCAGCATCTACCATAACAAAAAATCCACTTGACCTCACTTCTCATTTTCTGGCCGAGAAAACACTTTGTGAGAGATGTAATAAATTGCCCTTTTGTGGTTCCCACACACACGCGCACCAGACATCAATCGGCTAGGTTTAGGTAAATAAAAATACAACAAAAAGACAACTTAATAATCACTTTACCCAAAAAGAACAAGACAGGTAGGGGCTTTATGCATGAATGCGATTTCTGGTGCAGGCAATTGAGTTGCGCATTAGTTCAAGGTCGTTATTTCCTCTTCGAGACGAAACAACCACCAGAAAACAGAGACAAAGAATGAAAGAATGGGTTTCGCAAAACAAAACAAAAAACCCCGCGGCGTTTGTTTCGACCCAGTGGGGTGACCGATCGAGCGGAAGCTACCGCTGCTGCCACTACCGCTGCTGCTGCTGCCACTACCGCTGCCGCTGCTGCCACTACCGCTGCTGCTGCTGCTGCTGCAGACGAGGCCAGCGCCACGCAGGACAGGTTAACATCGTGCACGCCTTGTCCCGTCTCCTCCGCAGAGACGTGCGCCATCAACAACGGCGGCTGCGACCGCACCTGCAAGGACACCTCCACCGGAGTGCACTGCAGCTGCCCAGCCGGGTTCACGCTACAGCCAGACGGCAAAACTTGTAAAGGTGCGTCCGTTGGAGCGTTTGTTCCTCCGTCCTTTACGTCGGTACGTGGTTTGCAATCAACCTTCATATATATGTTCTTTATATTAATTTGATGGCAAAAAAACGCCAGGAGGTGGCTGAACAATCATGTTAGTATTGACTATTATCGTTGCGGAGGTTTGAGTTTTTACCACTGAGTCATGCACAATACGTTTTGCTAAGTGCAAGGAAATATATGTTTGAGGGACACAACTGGAAAACACAACAGCGAGCATTGATGGAATTTGGCCAACATCCCAGTCTAGGACCTTCATACCAATGAGTCTTGAGGCTCAGTGAGACTTTCCAGGATAAAATAAGGACATTATTGTACATTTTATACATGTATTAGTTACACCAAACAATATTTTCATTTTTGGAGAATAAGAACAGACGATCAGATCAAATGTTTTTACTTTATTTCAATAGTTGTATATTTTAGTTTCCATCCTTTGGACATTTTCAAATTTCAATTTTCATTGTCTGCCGGCCCCTTCACCAACATGCACTGACTGTTGTGGTGAAGTATGGTCAAACAAACCCCATCACAAACACATCATTGAGAGGTCTTTGATCGTTCCTTCACAGGGTGGAACCAAGGGATGGTGGCCACGGTGTGACGTCATCATTATATCATTGTTGCCGGCCTTATGCTGACCTCCCCCGCTGTTTTAGAATTATTATCAGAATTTACTGGCCTCTGACAGTCTACTGCTGGTTGAAGGCCTCCCCATGCCGCGTTGGTCGTGGGGGTTATTTTAACCTACTGCTACTGATCAGTGTGGGTCATTGAGGGAGGGTCTGCCACTGATGTTACCCAAACTCAGGTCAGGAGGATCAGAGCAGAGTGCGCTACCCATTGTGCCATTGTGCCGCTCTGGTATATGGGTTGTTAAATACAAAAATAAATACCGTGGATGGGTAGCTCACAGATCTTAGCAGTGAACCGGCACTGCTAAGATCTTGGGACCGATTGCAGGCAGCCACCCATAGATAAGGTGGACTCTCACGAGCAATGAGCCAAGGGTTCTCGATCATCACTGACCGAAAATGAAAAAAAAACACATCACGTTAAAAACAGTTCTACATCTAGTTTCGATCATTTCTGCTCTGAGAATTCAAAATATTTGTTTTGAGTGTCACGTGACAAAAAATACTACCGGTGGCAGAGTGGGGGAAGTGCTGACCCCCCCCTGCTCGGTGGACCAGAGGTGACTTGAAGGAAACTCTCAGAGGTAGCTCTGGGATATCTGCTTACGTGGGCTGTTCTTTAACACGAAGGGTTGCAATGCCACGTGAGAGATATGAACGGATATTTAATATAATGGCAGAGCACGAGTAGTACAATCGGGATACAATTGGGGGGAGTGGGGTGAAAAATGAATCAGTTTAAATTCCACGATGATTAGAAATAGCTGTTTACAGTCACCTATAAAATCATCTGTGGTTTATGTTAACACTGCCTATTTCAAGGATGACACGGTATTTCCATCGTATTGTTGCGTATGACTTGTTTGTAATGGCCCACGGTTGCATCCGACAGTGATGTGACGTTTGTGCTTTTACATTTTCCTGTTAGGTTTGGTCATTGTTGGACCTTGGAGTGTGTTCACATCTCACTGAGGCCCCCTTTATCCACTCATGAACCGGGATCCCATTCACCCCCTTCCCGCCCCACCAATTTATCCCGGCATCCTGTAATGAGATGAAGAATCCAATCATAAATCTCAAAGAGCAGGCTTAGTCTGTGCGCTGGAGATCGGCTTGTGGAAGGCATATTTTACAGGACTTCTGAAAAATTCTTCGAAGGAAACTTTTTATCCTTTTCCACAGTCGGGAACACACTTGACCATGATCTGCACTATGGAATTGTTTGTTGCGTGACGGCGAACATCAATCCATTGCTTGATTCCTTGAGCTGGGATTTCGCCAAATCAAGTGGAAGACTCGATTTAATGTGATGGGGTTTTTTGTTCGTCTGCAGTCATTGGTGATTGAGTTTGAGCCTACTCACTCGCGACACCTGAGAACCTGGTGCAAGCATCGGCGGCTGCCTATAGTTTATATAGATAGTTTATATCCCAATACTACTCTGAATCAGCAACCGCGGTGGTGAGATGTTAACTACCTCGCGTGGTATACAGGAAATCGTGGTTCGATTCCGAACTTGATGCCTGTATCATTGGAGTTACCATATATTTTGAGTTTGCATGTGGTCACGCGGATTTCTCTCCACATTTGGAAACATGTATTTAGATTATTTGGCTGCTACAAATTTCCAAATGATAAGCCAATTCGTTGAGCTATAATTTGTGACCAGGTAGCTTCTGAAAGAAGAGCTATCTAGCTCAGTGAGCCTTTGCTGGTAAAATTAAAATATTTTTTTTTTCAATACTTTAGTTTATGTAAATATAAGGTGCAACCCTGAAATGACTTTCTCACACCACTGCTGGTGGAAGGCCCTCCACTAGAATGAGCATTAAAACGTCTCTTCATGATGTATTTGGCCTACTCTTCCACACTGGCCAAACGGGAGCACTCACATTTTACCCCACTTTTTGGCTGCTTAGCTGCACCCCCCCCCCCTCACCACCCGCGATGCAGTCTGCCTTGCGGCTGCATCTCCAGCCGTCATATTCGCCATGCTTCTTCACCTCTGCTCGCTGTTCCAGGATCTAAGGAGGGGCAGGGCGATACAGAGGATGCTCGCGATGGTAATCCATCACGAAGGGTCCACCGCAGGTTAAAGGAGCACCATTCTGTTGGGAAGACATCGACATTTTACACTTGCACTTTCAATTCTCAGAGAGAGGAAAAAACGTACCTATTGAAGTATTATTCTGCAACGGCCATTTGATTAAAAAGGCAATTCTCTGCAACACTAGTTATTGATTTGTTGCTCAATTCGCCTGCCACTAGGCCCACAATTTGTACTGAGTAATGGTAGGACATTCAATCCCCGGTTAATTTAATCTCGCCTAATATGGAAACATTGGTCAGTCGCCCCAGATCAAAAATTTCTCCCGACCTCTGATGAACGATGCAATTATTGGGCAGCGTCATTAGCGCAATATAAAGGAGCCATTGACCGCGGCGATGATACATGAGCTGTGAAGAAATCGATAAATTAAAAACGCGAGTTGTACGTTTGCCACGTTGAACCCCCTTTTATTTATATAGATTTTTGGTGTAGCAAAGCAACTTTATCTAATTGCAAGGATTGGCAGTGAGCGTGCCTACGGAGGAGCGTTTTCAATCGGCACACACGACCTCTCCTACATGGGCACGTGGTTCAGAAGCATTGGTACCGATCTTCTTCTCCTTTCGTACGGCTGACGTAGATGCAAGAGCAAAAAACGACAATTTCACATTCAGGTCAGAATGAATGTTAAATTCATTGGCACCAATGGAAAAATACAATGGAAGAGTGTCCAAAAACAAAGCGCGCGGGGGAAGATTTTCCGCTCGGAGTTAAATTGTGAGAGAACAATGAGGCACACGAAGATTTATAGAACATATACGGGTTAATGACATCATTGGAACTATGAATGAAAAACGAAGCGGGATTGAGCAAGGCACCTTTGCTATAGAAGGGACAATGAACGGAGGCCAAGATTCACGATGGGGTGGCAGCCAAGAGAATTCAATGCACGCGAGAGCACGCCCGCTGGAATGATAAATTGAATGCCCGCGATTAGCAAGGTTGGCTAGGTACAGTGGGAAAGAAGTTCAGCATACGTACAATTCAGATCTTGCTGAGGTGGAATATTCCATCGCAAGATCGTGGCTTGGGAAGGCCTTAGCCCAGCAGTTGATTGAGCATGACTGATTAGTACGGTTGTTTGCGTACGACGCGAAAGAAGTTCAACACACATACATTACTACCGGCAGGGGCGGAGCCAGGATTTCAGGCCGGGGTGACATTCAACAAATTTTAATGTCAAGAATTATTTAGAGAGTCAGGCTGTTGAACTAGACGCCATCGGTTAGCGACACACTCTGACAATGCAGTTGCACGGAGTCCGCCAGACCGAGTGTCGTACACTTATACGCAGAATGTCACCCCTGTCACCCCCCCTGGCTCCGCCGCTGACTACCGGTGATTATAAATTGACTGATGTAAGTCTTTGGCCCAAGTTAGGGTGATCCTGGTCACTTTGCGTGCTTACTTTATTGTTCAACCGAGATGCTCAAAAGAGCTTGACAGCAATAATAATCATTTCATTTTTCCGTGTTTCGTGTTTTATACAGAGTAATTTTTATTTGCAAACTGAAAAGGGAACCTGATAGGGGGGAAAATAACCCCCATTCATTTTTTTCTAATAAGGCTGAGGATATTTTTCTTTTCTCAAATTAAAAGTGGCATAAACCAATATGCAGGAATCGTAGTATATATTCTGTTAACCATGGAAGGGCTTCACTTAAATGGCACCATATCAAAGCCTCCATATCCTCTGCCACCGCTATCCACCACCACTGCCAACGACAAAAGTCCCCTGTATAGCCTTCACAGACTTTTCGGGACAAGTTCTGTTCGCGAGCACCTATGAAGGCCGGCATGGCACACGATGGCGTGGGTGGTCAGCACCACACCTGACCGCCTTTGTCTTTATAGTGGCCATGTATACACACTGCACCAGACACTCATTTAAGGCTGAGTCGACCTAGGGAAAGCCGAATTAAAATATTCACCACTGTTATTGGACATGAGTGAGAATTACAGTGCACTAACAACTGCACCACCGCTTCTCACATCCACCACAACTATCACGTCCACAACCACCTTTACCACCACCATCGCCACCACCACAATCATACAAATCGTTATTATCAAACAATCATCATTGTAACCAAGACCACCATTACCACCACAGCTATTATCACCATGATTGGCAAAACCACGATTAGATCACCATTATAAACCACCACCACCACAACCACCACCCACCGTTTTTCTCACCGTCACTGTGAGGATAACAATC